CGGGCTTGGCCTATCTACCCTTGACGCGTCGCTCCTCTCAGCGTGCTCTATTCCTGAGCCAAGGGCAGAGCTCTTAAAGTTGGCCAACCAGGTTTCATCGACGTGCTCTTGTGACGCGGGGTCAAAAGCTGAAAGGGCCGACAAACTTTATGGAGGGCAAGGCGCCCGCGTTGTAACATGCTGCGCAACCTTATAAACCTCGATCCACGGGAGAACAAGAACTCTTGGGTGGGACGATGGCGCTAGCAGTCGGGCCATGTGAGGGTGTGAAGGATCGGTGCTCCAGGTGGAGACGGAGTGTGGGCGCTAGGGCCCACACCATGCCCATCACTTGTGGGGTAGCAGATCTTGTAAACTGGAGTTCTGCTCGCGATAAGCATTTTGTTACACATTTCTTGGTATGGGCGTCGTGGTCATTCGAGTGCGTGAGTTTCCCTTTGAACGACCTCGGAAAGATTTGCTCAGAACGAGCGCTACGCCGAATGCGGCCTAGGGCGTGGCACCGGATAACCTTGGAAACGAGCTCCTTCGTAAGCAAACACGCAAGCAACACGCAAACCTCATCCGCTACGTACCGTTTCGCCGACGCGCTGCGCAAAGCCACACAGCTAGCCACACAAAGGCCCTGCATTCGAAAGCGAGAAACACGCCCGCTCTCTTGATGAGTATGACATGAGGCCGGACTATCCACAACTCAACACCAGCTGAACACACAGGTGAACTAGTATGCTCCAATGGTCGGATCGAGGATCCGAGCAAGCGAATGACATGGCCTCCGTTCAGCCTTGCAAACTTCAGCCGCAAATGCGCATCTTTCTCTAGCCTCGCGTCTCTCTTTTTGTACACAAACGAGCAAGCTGAAGATATGGCGTTTTCCGGTAGGTCTGGGCTGGTCTTATTTCGATGTCGGCGCGCCCAAGAGAGTGCAGTGGATGTAACATACCTGGCGTTCGACGCGCAGTAGGTATATTTGAAGGGGTGTGCCTTCCACCGGACGTGTTTGACAAACCGTCCGAACCATCCGTTTCTTTTGGCACACGAACATGCCATACCAGTACCAACCACTTCCGACTCTCCACAACTCAGAAGATGTATACATACGATTGCTGGAAGTTCACAGGGGTCCTCCAAGTGGCCCTATCACCGGTCGACTGTATACAACGTTGTTGTCGAAAGCTCCGAAGTTCTACGCCCTCTCCTATAACTGGGGTCGTGAGCCACACAACGCTACCATCCATATCACCAATGCGGCCCCACCTCGTGATCTGGAGAATGACAACATTCTCGAAATACCCCGCACGTTAATACCGTTACTGTACGAGATTCGAGGATGGCGTTGGCAGAAAGCACGCACTCTGTGGGTCGACAGCGTGTGCTTGAACCAAAAAGATGATGAGGAGAAGACCACGCAAGTACCAAAGATGCGACAGATCTACATGAAGGCTTCTGTCACTGTGAGCTGGCTGGGTCCGAAAGAGGCGGGGGTAGAAGCAGCGTTCGAATACGCTTCTGGACTACACACAACCTACCGACGAGAAATGGCAGAACAGAAACAAATAGTCTTGACACCGGAGGAAGAGAAAGAGAAAGATGTTCGCGTTAAGGTCAAGGTAGGCGACCCGGCACTCGAGACGCTGCTGAGGTTGCTAGATCGACCTTACTTCGAGCGATCCTGGATCATGCAAGAAGTCGTGGTTTCCAGCTCAGTGTGGTTCATGTGTGGAAGCGCCAAGATACCCTGGAATTCGCTGCTGGCTGCATACCTGTATCTTTTGACGAGTCAATTGTGGCTGTGGGAATTTTATGAAGGAGCTAGGCTAAGCAACGTCATCCTCATGAAGCTTAGTGAGATGGAATTTGCCAATGGCGTCGATCTCGATTGGCCTGGGACGCTGCTGAGACATCGAGTCTGTTTTGCCGGTGATTCTAGAGACAAGATTTACGCTTTCTACGGGATGAGGTGTAAAAAGGCATTGGAAAAGGTGGGAATCGAGCCAAACTACGACAAGAACCTCACGCCGGAGATATTGTACACTCGTTTGGCTGCGCGCACGCTTCAGAAGGGGCAAGTGGCAATCCTCCATGTGCCTCGTCTCGTTACTACCCCCCTCGAAGAAAGCGACCCGAAATACAGACTGGCACTCCCATCATGGGTACCAGACTGGCGGTGGACAGAAGCAACTCCTATGTCGCTGGTCAGAGCCGAAATGCTCGCCAATGATGCTTACACAGTGCGAGACTACCATGCTTCGGAAAGCTCTTTATTTGAACCCGGCTTCGGTCTCGAGGCGTGCAACTCACCACCAGACCCTGGTACCTACCCAATGGACTTGCCCAAGATGCTGAGGCTGTCTGGAGTCACAGTAGCGAAGGTCACGCAACTCACACCGCGCCGTTGGCTAGCGCGCAAAGCCCCACTTCGCCAATCTTTGCTTGAACAAGCAAGAATATTACAGTTCAACATGCAACAAGTTCATGAATGGGAGGCCCTCTTTCGACCCCAGCACGACAAGCAAGTGTACTCTGCGACAGGCGAGTCTGCGACTGAAGCCATGTACGAGACCTTCATGGCTGGTGAACTACAAAACACGCCAGAAGCTAAAAGAAGCGCTTATGCTGCTTTTGAGAACCGCCAGCGACTCTTGCGGCTTCTTTGCACATTCAATATCCACGGCTATTTGACTTGCTACATCGCGGTCGTCTTGATTGAGCGCATTCTTCGCCTCTTTGGCTGGGTGAATCCTGAAGCGCAGTTCAGGTCTATGGTAGGGCATATGTTGAATCGCAAGGGCGCACGGATGGTTGATCTTGCAGACTCCGAGATCACTTATCATGCTCTGGTACCCAGTATATGTCGGCTTGGAGACCATGTTGTGCTTGTTGGGGGCGTTATGACACCGCTCATACTGCGGGAAGGTCAAGGTACGTGGGAGTTCATAGGTGACGCTTATGTTCATGGAATCATGAAGGGTGAGCTTTGGGAGAAGAGCAAGGGAAATTGTCAAGACATGTGGATTGCGTGAATGAGGAGGAGTTTCACGCTCTCAGACTCCATGCACGGTCTGCAAAATGGTGGTCTTCACATTGCCAATCGATGCCGGATCCACGCTATAGACACCACCAGTCTAACTCGGCCACCGCGCACTCTAATCCCCACCTGCTTCCACATCTAAAAGGCTCGCATTATCAACACCCGGAACTTCAGTAGAGTCGAACACTTTTTGACATTCTACAATACAACATGTCTCAATCGAAGATTACAACTTTCGCCAACGAGACATTGGACAAGATCTTCGCCTATCTCGCCGATAAGGATGCCTGGCTTGCTCTGATCAAAGGTAAAGTAGCCGCCACGAATAGCTCTTAAGACATCTTGCTAACTTATTACTAGTATGTAGCCCCCTTGCTATGCTTTGCTAACGTGGTACTGAGACATGTTATTATTTGTGCTAACAGCTTAATAGACACACCGCAGCTTCAAATCATCAGCCCAGCAACTTCTCTACCGCGACATCCACGTACCTGCGCAACATATTCCAGTCCATAATGGACGCTGCTCGATGCTCTTGACCGCGCTCACAGCCGCCCCACACCTCGCCGGCTCAGTACAAACGCTACAAATCGATTGCCAGCTCGAAGGCGCGTACCCATATGGCAAACTATCCCTCGAACGAGACGCGATTCGGGAGATTCTCGCCAAACTTGTGAATCTACAAAACTTGACTATCTTTATCTTGGACGATCCGCGATCAACGTTTGAGCAAATGGACGCATCATCCGAGATTGCTCAAATGTAAGATTACTGACCAAACGTGATTGTCGGCAAGGAGCTAAGGTCAAATACAGGCTGAGAGATCACACTACCACACCTATCAGCATAGACTGTCCCGAGCATCACTTAGCCATGTCAACTTGGCTCTTCGGTCTGCCCACCGCCAAAACACTAGTCGTACGAGAGAATATTACGCACGCAGCGCTCGGGTATTTCACCGCGCCCTCCATCCAATGGTTTGACACAGTCAACTTCAGAAATCTCACCTCCATCGACTACAAATGGTGTACATATCCATCAATACACAATGGACGTGCTGCTGTGCAGAAAGCTGGTACTGCTAGTCAGCTGGAGAAATTGCGCTTCACATGGTACCTCGACGGCGCGCCCTCACTCGGCCTAGATGTCAGCATCGCTAATTTATGGGCGACTCAACAGACGCTACGAGAACTAACTATTTTGCCTGGCATATGCTACGAAGTACCGCAGAGACCTTGGAGCCCAACTAGATTCACCAATTTTACCGCCTTGCAGATTCTGCATGTGCCGGCTTTCGCGTTTTTCGAGGAATTGTCGTGCGGTAGCCTGAAAGCAAATCCCAACCGCGTGGGCTTTGAGCTCAGGAGCGATATCACGCCCCTCCTACCACCGAATGTACGCGAACTAGAAATCTGGTTCAGATACCCATCTGGTATCTTCGCCACGGGTGGAACGAAGATGCGGCAATTCCAGGAGCTGTCTGAACCGGAGAGGCTGAAGTGGTTTGGTTGGATACTGGCGTTGCTTCAGCTGCGCAGCTTGCGCCGAGTTCACATGACCGAGAGCCTTTGCGCTCATGACGGAGGAGGTTGTAAGCAGGAGCGTGGCAGCTGGCCGAGTTGCAAGTTCATACTACCGGAGGTGGTGAGCGAGGCTTTTGCTAAGGTAGGGGTGGACTTGGAGATTATGGCGTTGAATAGGATGGCTGTGTATCATGGGATGTATTGAGATACTTGGTACTGGGGCTGGATATTTGCGCCTTTGGTAGTTATGGGGGTATGAGGGATGGCGTTGAGTGGTGGCAAGGTTATGTTACTCAGTTATGTCGCTCAATGACTCAACCGCTCACAGGGAAACGCAGCGATGGCGATGATAGCATGACAAGATGTTCATCAATCAGTATTTGACCGCCTAACAGTGTCCATAGTAGCTACTTGCAACATCAACATCAACACCAACACCAACCTCCTTAAACATAATATTTCCCACAAATCCCATTACTAAGCAACACAGACCCGTCCGGTGTTCCGTCTTTCAAGATAATCTGGCCCCCCTGAGAACCAGCATCGCAAACACCACTATTTCGTGTGAAGAAATCACAGTATTTCTGGTTGTTAACTACCTGAAATACGCTTCCGACACAGGCAGGTGTGGAGATACAGGCCAGGCAGCATTCATAGGCCGACCCGGCAACGACACTCTGATCCGACAGGTCGTCGATCACGATTTGGCTGAAAACTTGGCCATTGATACCGGGGATGAAGTTGTCGGCACCGCAGGCGGCGTAGAAGGTGGAAGCCGGTACGGCTACTTCGATTGTTTGGGTAGTGGCAGTTGTGATGGTAGAGGGCTCGACAATGGTTTGTGTGATGGCCGTGTAGTAGGCATCAGTGACTGTTGTTGATGCGCGAACGGGAGTGAGGGTGGTCGTGCTGACCTCGGTTATTGTGGTGGTGACCGAAGAGGTAGGTGCCGATGTCGTAACAGTCGTGGTCCTCTTCGCGGTCCGGGTGATGGTCGACGTACTGATCACCTTTGCTATGCCGACACAAGCCACTCCTTGTGGGTAGACGGGAGGTGAGCATGTCGGTTTTCGGCCTTTGTTGAAGATGATACGTTGCGCTTGGCCTCGCTCTTCTAGTGCAGATTCGTTCGATGCTACTTCAGGGAGGCTGGCGAATCTTCGCTTCCTGTTGGGGAAGGTTGACTGGATGGGCTGGAAATTTGCAGGAGGTACCACAGTCGTTGTTGCAGCAGTAAGCGTGACAGTGAGCGTGGCGGTGTCTGTTACTCGGGTGATGTCCGTGGATGTTATTAGGACTGTGTCGGTCTGCGTGACAGTTTCAGAGAACGTGTCGGTCTCTTGGGTCTGGGTCTCAGTCATTACGCTCGTCGCTGTGACAGTGACCGTGGCGGTAACCGGTGGGGGAGTGACGACATATGTAGGCGTCTTCGTTGTGAACTTGAAGCCATAGAAAGGTACCGTCAAGATGCGAGACGTTGTCTTGACGGTAGCAACCGGCTTTGGACCTTGCTTGGTGATACAAGTAACGTAGGACTTTGTCGTAGCAGTTGCGCTAGCTTCAAATGCAAGCAAGAGAGCGCCGGCGAAGAAAGTATGTGAGAGATGCATGTTGCCACCGTGTATATATGAGCTTTCCGAAGTGTCTGATGGTCCTATTGTCGCATTCACAGCTCTTATATATGCCTTCGTTCTTCCAGCTCATCGTCCCAGACTCTTCCCCAACTTGACTGGCGACTGGACAAGGCGATACCCATACTTCGTTCAGCCAGCCATTTCAGCCTCCTTGAGCCATCACGCACTGCCCAGAATGTACAGATCGACATATGGAGCACATTTCGCGTTAGTGCATAAAATAATGCATCCCGAATAGGTATGGACAATGAATGCTGTCGCGACTACAGCGCAAGATCGCAAGTGTGGCTTGTCGGCGGTATGTAGACTTATTTGCCAGTTCTTGACATTGGAAGGCGTCCGGTCACCAGTGATTGGAGACACGAGAATCTAGTGCTGGTGTTTAAGGCCTCCAACTTCGAGAGTTCAGTATGTGGTGTAACCTAGACTGGGCTGAGTGGAAGTCTAGGCCCGAAATGCGGGATCTAGAAGTAAAATGCAAGTTGCCGCGAGAAGGATGCAGGAACTGGAAGACACGGGTGGACTGTATGGAATCTAGAACGCTAGTGGAATCACGTGATACGCGGTGGCGCTAAGACGGGGAGCGTTAGCACCGAACGTCCTTTGAGAGGCGGTCGCCGCCGTCGCATACGGAACAGACAGGACACTACACGTCCGCACTCACCCACCCCCCTTCACCTCCCCGCGCCTAATCAACCCAGTCGCGATCATGGCCGAGCCGTACGACTACGACGGTATGGAGGACGAGTACGAGGATGAGGAGAACCGCGTCTTGCCCGAGGACTGCTGGGCGGTCATCAGCTCCTTCTTCGACACCAAGGGTCTGGTCTCGCAGCAGCTCGACTCGTACGATGAATTCACGCGCAACACAATCCAGGATATCGTAAAAGAAAACGGCAGCGTCATTCTCGAGCAAAACACGCCCTACAACCCCGATGAGGAGGAGAACCCCATCATCAAGCGCCGCTATGAAATTAAATTCGGGCGCGTCTACCTGGCGCGGCCAACACACACAGAAGGCGACGGCACCACGGTGCAACTTTACCCTCACGAAGCGCGTTTACGGAATCTCACCTACTCCGGTGCCATGTTGGCCGATATCGAGAACCGAATAATGGTCGCCCGTGAGGGACGCGAACCAGAGGAGGGCGATGACGAGGAGATGGAAGGTGGCTACACAGGCGGACCATCGCAGATCCGGTGGGAGCGTGAAGACATGCCAATGGATGATGGCGCTGCGGCGCGAGTCTTCATCGGAAAGCTTCCTGTCATGTTGCGGTCAGAGCTCTGCCATTTGCGAGCGCAGTCTGACGCGGACCTGTTCGCTCTGAACGAGTGCCCTTACGATCAGGGTGGATACTTCGTCATCAACGGAAGTGAGAAGGTCCTCATCGCTCAGGAGCGCAGTGCCGCGAACATTGTACAGGTCTTCCGAAAGAAGCAGGGTCCTATTCCATGGATCGCTGAGATTCGAAGTGCGGTCGAGAAGGGCACCCGGTTGATCTCATCGTTTAACATCAAGTGGGCGGAGAACTCACTCGCAGGTCCCGGAAAACGTATCCCCGGTCCCTTCGCATACGCTACCCTCCCATACATCAAGGCGGATGTGCCCATGGCCATCGTCTTCCGCGCGCTCGGTATTGTCTCCGACGAAGAGATTCTCAGTCACATCGTTTACGACCGCACCGACACACAAATGCTGGAGCTGTTGAAGCCCAGTATCGAGGAGGGATCCGTTGTTCAGGACCGAGAGACTGCTCTGGACTTCATTGCCAAGCGTGGCGCCAATTCAGGCACGAAGGACAGGCGTCTCAAGTTCGCGAGGGACATTATGCAGCGAGAATTCTTGCCGCACATTTCCCAAAAGGAGGGTCAGGACACGCGCAAGGCCTACTTCTTTGGTTACATGATCCACCGCCTTTTGCAGTGTGTGCTGGGTCGCCGCGACGAGGACGATCGTGATCACTTCGGTAAAAAGCGTCTGGATCTCGCTGGACCTCTGGTTGCCAACTTGTTCCGTATTCTCTTCCTGAAGCTCACCAAGGACGTGTACAAGTACCTTCAGCGATGCGTTGAGAACAACCAGGACTTCAACGTTCAGATGGCTGTCAAGGCCAGCATCATCACAAACGGGTTGAAGTACTCCTTGGCAACAGGTAACTGGGGTGACCAGAAGAAGGCCGCTTCCGCAAAGGCCGGTGTTTCCCAGGTGTTGAACCGATACACATACGCCTCCACATTGTCGCATTTGCGTCGAACGAACACCCCAGTCGGTCGTGACGGCAAGCTAGCCAAGCCGCGACAACTTCACAACTCCCATTGGGGTCTTGTTTGCCCTGCCGAGACTCCTGAAGGACAAGCTTGTGGTCTGGTCAAGAACTTGTCTTTGATGTGCTACGTCAGTGTCGGTAGCGACGCGTCGCCTATCATCGACTTCATGACACAGCGAAACATGCAGCTTTTGGAAGAGTACGACCAAAACCAGAACCCAGATGCGACCAAGGTCTTCGTCAACGGTGTCTGGGTTGGTGTTCACTCCAACGCCCAACAGCTTGTCACAGTCGTCCAGGAGCTGCGACGAAACGGAACTCTATCCTACGAGATGAGTTTGATTCGTGACATTCGTGACCGAGAGTTCAAGATCTTTACAGATGCTGGCCGTGTCATGAGACCGCTGTTCGTTGTTGAAAACGACATCCGGAAACCGAACCGCAACCACCTCATCTTTACCAAGGAAATCAGTAACAAGCTGAAGCAGGAACAGATGGAGACAAGCACGCGACAAGGATGGAGTCAGGATGAGGTTGAGCAAGCCACTTACGGCTGGAGAGGTCTTATCCAGGATGGTGTTGTGGAATACCTCGACGCCGAGGAGGAGGAGACTGCCATGATAACGTTCTCTCCTGAGGATCTGGAAGAGTGGCGAGAGATGAAGATGGGCTTGCCTGCGGCTGAGCGATCTACCGAAGGCGAGCACCGTCTTCGCCGTCTCAAGCCACTACCAGACCCACGCATCCACGCCTACACCCATTGCGAGATCCACCCGGCCATGATTCTGGGTATCTGTGCCAGTATCATTCCCTTCCCTGATCACAACCAATCGCCCCGTAACACCTACCAATCTGCCATGGGTAAGCAAGCCATGGGTGTCGCCCTCACCAACTTCGCGCTGCGCATGGAAACCATGATGAACGTCCTATACTATCCCCAGAAGCCATTGGCTACTACTCGATCAATGGAGTACCTCAAGTTCCGTGAGCTTCCCGCTGGTCAAAACGCCATTGTCGCCATTGCCACATACGGTGGTTACAATCAGGAAGATTCCGTTATCATGAACCAGAGCAGTATCGATCGTGGACTCTTCAGGAGTCTGTTCTACCGTGCATACACTGAGCAGGAGAAGCGTATTGGTGTCAATGTTCTGGAGCAGTTCGAGAAGCCTACACGAGCCGATACACTCCGCCTGAAGGGTGGAACATACGACAAGCTCGACGATGACGGTGTTGTTGCGCCTGGTGTACGTGTCTCTGGTGACGATATCATCATCGGAAAGACAGCCCCTATTGCAACTGACGCACAAGAGCTTGGTCAGAAGACCACTCTCCACACCAAGCGCGATGTCTCAACACCACTGCGTAGCACTGAGAACGGTATCGTCGACCAAGTACTTTTCACCACTAACACTGAGGGACTCCGTTTCGTCAAGGTCCGTACACGAACGACCAAGGTACCGCAAATCGGTGACAAGTTCGCTTCTCGTCACGGTCAAAAGGGAACCATCGGTATCACTTACCGTCAAGAAGACATGCCGTTCTCCAAGGAAGGCCTCACCCCCGATCTGATCATCAACCCCCACGCCATTCCCTCCCGTATGACAATTGCCCATTTGATCGAGTGTCTACTCTCGAAAGTCGGCGCCATCACCGGACAAGAAGGAGACGCCACACCCTTCACCGACATCACCGTCGACCAAGTCTCCGGTCTGCTCGAGGATGCCGGCTACCAAAAGCGCGGTTTCGAAATCATGTACAACGGTCACACCGGCAAGAAGATGCGCACGCAAATCTTCTTGGGTCCGACATACTACCAGCGTCTCAGGCATATGGTCGACGACAAGATCCACGCTCGTGCGCGTGGTCCACTCCAAATCCTTACTCGCCAGCCTGTCGAGGGTCGTGCTAGGGACGGTGGCCTTCGTTTCGGAGAGATGGAACGTGATTGTATGATTGCACACGGCGCCGCCGCCTTCTTGAAAGAACGTCTCTTTACCGTCTCAGACGCGTACACCGTACACGTGTGCGACATCTGCGGTCTGATGAGTCCTATTGCGTAAGTTTTCCCTTCTCCCATCTTTACCCCCACATCTCCCTACCCAGTAGTCAACTTTTAACTAACTCTTCAACCCAGCCAACTCAAAAAGGGCCTCTACGAATGCCGCCCCTGCCACAACAAAACCCGCATCTCCCAAATCCACATCCCCTACGCCGCCAAGCTGCTCTTCCAGGAACTCCTCGCCATGAACATTGCCACCCGCATGTTTACCGATCGCTCTGGATTGAGCGTCCGTGACTAGTCGTTGTCGGACGCTATGGATAGGCTTAGCCTGTCTTCTGAGCGGAAATCCGGTCGTGGGTATTCATACTTTCGGATTTTCTCGTAGTCGTGTTTTGGTTTTCTGCATGGTCATGGCGTTTCTTGATGTTTGTGTGCGTTTGGACAGAGTGATTGAGAGGAAATACAAGGCTACCGTTGGAGGTTTTAGCCTGGCGTTTTTAAGTTGCGAGCGCTTTTTCTCATCTATGCGGGGGGTTAATCAGAGGCGATATCGAATAAGACAAAAACTGCATGTGATTACAGACGAAGTAGCAATAATCTGTTTTGTAAATCAACGTAGACTGGAATCAAGGATGCTACTCTCCAGATCGTGTTCATCACAAAGCCATCATGCAAAATATATTGTACGAATCGGCATTGTT